GAGGAGTAGCATTGATTGTCATTAATCAATAATTATGGTCCAAAGTTGAACTGTGGTTCCTCACTACCAAAACTTTTTATTTTCAAATAAACTTTTAATATGAACGGACAAAATTTCTTTATAAAAAAATCTTAAAATCTACCTTAGATGTAACACAATTTACTCTGAAAATAACAATATCTAATATTATAAAATTGTATTTTGTTCGAAGAAAATCAAAGTAAATTTCACACAAAAATTAATTCTGAAAATAGTGAAATTGCTACAAATTGACAAATAATATGATACACGTATTCAGCAAGAGTGAAATCAATTTCCTAGTACTTGGACACATAATACTTTTATTGTTATCTAAAAGCGATGTTTAATTTTAGACCTTAAATACTTAATGAAAATCCACGTTATAACTTCACTATATGTTTTACACAGGGACCTTCACGAAAGTCGACATTTGATTTTGTTTCAATAACTGAAAACAAAACAAAATTACGAATGAATTTTGATTCGGTTAAGTATAACAGAAACGGAAGTAGAATTTAATTTCGTTTCGGTTAAGTAACAGAAACGAAAGTAGAATTTAATTTCATTTCGGTTAAGTAACAGAAACGAAAATGGAATTAAATTTTGATTCTGTTAAGTAAGAAAAAACGGAAGTAAAATCTAATTTAGATTAGCAAAATAAAGTTGATTTTTGATTTTTATATTGAAACCGAAACAAAATAAAGTTGACTTTTGATTCTGATTCCTTATCCGAATCAAAATAGAGTTGACTTTTGATTCTGATTCCTTATCCGAATCGAAATTAAGTTGACTTTTGATTCTGATTCCTTATCCGAATCAAAATAAAGTTGACTTTTGATTCTGATTCTTTATCCGAACCAAAATGAAGTTGACTTCTGATTCTTTATCCGAAACGAAACAAAAGTGTTTTTGAATTTTGTTTTGTTTCCGTGAAGGTCCCTGGTTTCACATAATATCAGTAGATGACATACTTACTTAGAAAGAATTAAAAAAATTCCTAGCGCTAGAAAACTTAACTACGATTGGTTCATTTCTCAAAAATTTTAATAATAACAGGCATGGCACTCGATATTGGGTTTTTAAAAATATATCAAAAATGTAACTTTAAGATTGAAAAAAGTAGATATAAAAAAATTGGACTTAAATTTCAGTCAAATTCTACTGAGTGGAATCAGTGGCAAACTTCTAGCTGATTAATCAGTGAAATTCCACTAATTCAATTTAAGAGAGTTCATTCTTATTCTCCAAAAACTTCAATATTCTAAATTTTTGCAAAATTCAATTAATTACTACATTTAATTTGAAAATATTCAATAATACAATTATATATTTCAAAATAATTTTTAAAAATAAAAATATTAAATTCATTATAAAGTAAACTTTATTTAACGTAAATTAGACAAAATTTCCAAATTGTACAAAATTTTATTTAATTTTTCAGAAATTATTTACAAAAATTAAAATATCTGAAAAAATTGTAATTGCAATTCATTTAAAACCTTGTTTTTATAATTTCTAACTTACATTGATTCAAACATGAATAAGTTTTGTTAAATAAATATTAAAATACTTATTCCAATTTATTTTTAAAAAGGAGATCAAATTTTTAATTATTTCAATGCAAAACATTTTTATTTATTTGTCTATTTATTCAAAATACACAGACAAAGGCCATTTTGTAGAAATATTTTAAAATATATAATTAAATTATTTCGAGAACATTTATTAAAATTTTTTAAAATGATTAAAATCATTCGAAGCAATTTTTAAAAAATTTTTTGAATTGTTTGTAAAAATGTTATTCATATTTATGAGAACAATTTATTTCTTTCAACAACTGGCTGATTCAAAGTAGTGCAAAATGGTTTAAAAACAAAAAAGTAGCTTTGAGTGTTACAAATCTGCAAAAAGTATCCAAATATTAGCGAACATGCAATTCTGCTTCTTCTGCAAGTTCCATCATTGCGCCTAAAAAGTAATACAGTTAAAATTTTGTTCATAAATCCATCATTTCTTATTTGCATTTAATATATTTAAAACATTATTAAAAAGTTTACAAGAATATCAATATTCAACTTCAAAGACACACAGATAATACTTTTTTTATAAACAATATTGTGTGAAAAATGGGTTTAAAAGATAGTAGAACCCTCGATCAAAAAATTACAATTCGACGTAAATTAATAATTTCAAAGTATCTCCAATTAATTGGCATCTTAACAAACCTGGTAAAAAGAAAACACAAAAAACTGTTGTCAATTTCAATTATTAATAATCGACAAAAAGGAGAAAAATCGAAACTCTATAAAATTCAGTCACAAATCGAAAAATCATAACTTATTAAATATAATTGATTTCAGAATATCTTCAAATTATTCCCGACCTACTAAACTGTAACACCGAAAACCAAACCAAATTTTGACGAATTGTAATATTATACGGCGAGAAGGAGAAAAATTGAATCTGAGTTTGGAAATACGAGGTTAAAAAATTATAATAGATCGGAAGCAATTAATTTTAGAGTCTCTCCAGCTTATTCGCTCCACATGGAACCCAAAAACGAAAAAAAACGAAACGAATTTCCACGAATATAAATATTTTTAGACAAGACAAAGAAAATTCGAGTCTTAATTTGGACATATAAGACTGATAATTTAAAAATTTTATAAGGACGAAAATAATTAATTCCAGAGTCTCTCTAGTTTATTCGTTTCCAATAGAACCTGTAAACCGAAAAGCGAACCGAATTTTCACGACTTTAAACATTTTTCGATAATAAAACGGAAAATTGAGACTTAATTTAAAAACAAATGATGGAAAATTTCTTAATTGACAAAAATAATTAATTCCAAAGACTGTTCAGTTTATTCGCTTCCTATAGAATTTGCAAACCGAAAACCGGATAGAATTTTGCCGAATTAAAATATATTTTGTCAAGAAAACTGAAAACTGAGTTCTAATTTCGAAATATAAGATCGACAATTTATTAATCGGCGAAAATAATGAATTTACTTGTTTCTCCACATTATTCGCTTCCTACCAAGCCTGAAAACCAGAAACCGGAAGGAATTTTAACGAATGGATAGAATTCTAACGATTTTAAATATGTTTAGACAATAAAAAGTAAAATCGACACTAATTGTAAGTTTCGAAATATAGATTCGAAAATTTGTTAATCGAGGAAAATAATTAATTTACGAGCTTCTACAGTTTACTCGCTTTCTACCGAACTTGAAAATAGAAAACCAGATCGAATATTGACGAATTTGAGTATTTTTAGAAAAGATAACGGAAAATCGTATCTTAATTTCGAAATTAAAGAACGAAAATTTATTAATGGACGAAAATAATTAATTTGAGAGTACTTCAAAATTGTACGCTTCCTATTGAACAAAAAAACCATAAACAGGATGGAATTTTCACGCATTTAAATATTTTTTGTCAAGAAAACCTAAATCGACCTAAAATCGAGTCTAAAAACACTGTTCACTTTTCTTCTTTCTTGAATTTTATGTCCTCACAATAGTTTTTTAGAGAATGTTATGAAGCCATCTCTTGTCACATTTTCATATTCTTCATTTCTTCTTTCTGCTGTGAGCTGTGACCATTTTATTTGTTTTCCAATTTCTGGGCGGGTTGTTTATTGTGTCCTACTCTCCCAGGTGTCAGATTTCCTGCAATTTGTTAAAAAATATTTGGTGAATGAAAAAGTTTACTTTATTTCTTATGTTTTTCAAATTTTTAAGTCTTTTATAACAAGGTAAATGATACTTAACAAAATTGATGTTTTTCTTCAGTATAATCCTGGATTGTACTTGTTTCTTTATGGACTTGTTGAGAAAGAAATTTTCTTTTTGGCTTGAAAATAATTGTGTGTAGATTTTTTTCGTTTCCAGTATATCATTAATTCTAATAATCTGGCTTCCAAATAATATCCGCAGCCCTGAATAGCTTTCTTATTTTTGAGATAAATTTGTTGACCAAGATATAATTTTTATCCGTGCCTCTCAAACAGCCGTAGAATTGTTTTCATCGTTGAACATATCCCCATCCTCCTTTCACTCAACATGGCTCGAAAGATATTTTGAAAAGCATCTGCGAAAATAATTGTTTATTTTATTTTCAATAAATACTTTTATTTTACTTACCTCTGAAAAAAATACCCTAATAATTCCCAGCTGCCAATTGATGAACCTATAATAATAATAATAATAATAATAATTATTATTATTATTATTATTATTATTATTATTAGTATTCTGTAAATAATTCGTTTCGTAAATATTATTTGAGTTTATTTTCTATTTTGTTAATCTCCACCTTTTACACAGACTGCAAAACTTAAAAAACAAAACACAAATATTAAACACTGACATATTTTACATACAAAGGAACAAACTGAAAACACAACACAAACATTTTTAACACTGCAATTGTGGGACAAAAAAATAATTTGACACGTTTCTTAGTTGAAAACACCGAATAAAATAATTATTTAGCATAGTAAAAATTAACTTTCACATTTATTTTTAATTTCTTCTGTTTTATAATTGAAAAATACGGAATACAACTATTATTTTGCAGCATATAAATAAACATTGCAATTTTATTCACACAGGAATCAGCCGGAAACACACAACTAATATTTTTAACACTGTCATTGTCTGACAAAATTTAAATTTGTTGTTTAATTTGAAAAACAACAAATAAATTTATTATTTTGCAGAGTAAAAAATAATTTCCACATTTTACACAAACAGCAATAAACAGCAAACTGTAACGAACAAGATCGTTTTTAATTATTTTGGTTTACAATTGTTATTGTCGGTGGTTTTATTATTATTCTCATATAATAATATTATTCAAATCAAATAAGATTGCGCGCGTAAAAACGTAGGTGGCGCTCGATTTTCTAGCAGCCGACAAAAGCACGTTTCTGATTTTGCCGGAGGAAATAATCAGATGAGAGCGACCTATAACGCTATACGCAACTCGCGCGATTATTACGCGTACTTTGTATTTCATATTAATCACATTGTTATAAAGTAATAAATTAAGTGTGTTTTGATAAAATCAGCGTTTATTTCTTTATTAATCACCAGAATAATATTTTATCAAAACTTTGGAAATTGTGGAAACATTGGAATAAACTCGACACTGGTGAGTCTTTTTGTTTATCCCTTCTGCTTGTTGTTCTTTCATTGTTGGACCTCGCTTATGCACGTAACCAGTGCCATCAACGCAATCAAGGCAATGCAGGTAAGAGTGGAAATCTCGTTCCCATGTGCACCCAGTACGAGGCGTACCCACGCATAAATCATCTTTCGATTTTTTTTAAAGTTTAATAATAAAACCTCGCGACTAGGGTTTGTCACATTATGGCGCCCAACGTTATATTTTCTTATGATCGAATTGAATTCTAATTCTAAATTAGAATATTAGTTTGATCTTAAATAAAAAAAATTTTTTTTCTTTTCGCGCCTTCTTTGAAAAATAATAATTTTTTTTTCTCATTAGAAACGCGAGTTTTTAAAGTGTATCACGTGTACAAATAATACACCAGCAAAGCACTTTTCGAACGAGATTTTCATTCACCTCAAATTGCTTTTCCAAAAAAAAAAAAAAAAAAAAAAAATAATAAGCTCGCTCTCTCTCACAAATTTACTGCTTTTTTTGTAATATATGCTTTAAATATTACAAAGATATATAACGATATTCAATTATAATAAAATATTCTTTTAATACAATTTAACACCGCTTTTACGCATAAATAGCTTGCTTTTGTACATTTTCGCTATCGACTTTTTGCGCATGCAAATACGCTTTTTGCACGAATTATTTTAAAATTAAAATAATAACAACCATAGAAAAAAAATATATATGTATAAAAATGATCAAAAATCAATTTTTCTCATTACTGTTGCCACATTCGTTTTACCACGAGGAAACACGTAATCTCCAACACGGCTCGCGCAAATTGTAAACACAACTGTGTTTACAACACAATTCTTGTCCCTTACCAGCTTTAAACTGAAATAAAGCAAAGTATAACAAAAAAAAATAATATCAAAACTTTTGCCTTTCTTTCCACAACGAAGAAAATAAAATTTAATTCCATTTATTAATTTTAAATAATTTTCTTCCAGCTCGTTTTTGACAATTACTCATCGGTTGTCGTGTTGACAAAAAAAATAAAGGCATTACGGGTTTTTAAATGATTAGGCGCTTGATTAATTAATTAAACCAAAATAATTAATTAATTGAACCAAAATAATTAATTAATTAAACCAAAATAATTAATTAATTAAACCTAAATAATTGATTAATTAAACCAAAATAATTAATTAATTCAAAATAATTGATTATCATTTGAACGATTAATTAATTAAAAATTTGTTCTCTTCAAAAAAAAAAATTTTTTTTCTCATTATCTTCTAATTTTATTAAAATAAAAATTCGCTTTTATTAGTAAAACCATTTAATTCAAAATGGGTAAAGGTAATAGGGACAAAAACCAAAACAAAAACTTAGAGGGACAAGAAACCAACACAAGCCCAGAAATTCTGGACCAACAAAACGCTTTCCTAGCGCGTAATACGTTGGTACATTCTCCCCGTAACATTCAACAACAAAGAGCGTCGGCAAGCGCTCAAGCGCAAAACGATCCCCTAGAGAATCAAGCCTCTTCTCAGAACGCGCCTCCTAAGGCTGCAGTCCCATGGCAGCGTTTTGCGTTGCGTTTTGTCACTAGACCCTGAGTGTAAACATAGCAAACATATATCTGCATCTCTTTTACACTCATGGTCTAGTGACAAAACGCAACGCAAAACGCTACCATGGGACTGCAGCCTAAGACGCCAGACCATGAGAACACGCTAACCGCTTCCGACCCTGAAAATAGTGACAATAGTGACAGCGCAGAAAAAATTTTAGAACGTCATACCACGTCCGGAACTAAAATAAAAATTAAAATGCCATCGCGACATACGCGAAAAACAAAAAAAACCCCAATCACTAAGTCACAAGCTAATAAAGCTCTTTATCATTTTCAATCTGAAATGAACCAATTTAAAAATGACATACAAACTATGTTCTCTGAACATCTCGTAGAATCGCGCCGTCAGACACGTGAATTATTTTCAGAATCGCGCCGCGAATTCATTTCATTTAAAAAACAAAATTCCAAAGAATTAGAATCGATTCAAAGAAATAATCAAGAAATGATAAATGCCCTTCGCAGTGAAACGAATAAAGCAATAGAGGCGCTTGCGCACAAAGTCTCGGAACAGCAAACGAGACAAGCGCAATCGACTTGGCACGATTCTCGGTGGGCCTTCGACACCGTAGGGGAACATATACCGCCCCCCACTTGTCATCCCCCCACCCTAACCACAACCACAGTCACTACGTCGACTTTGGGTAACCCAGTCACCAGTAACATAGGAATAGAACCTAATTATCTTTTTCCTCCACTGAACTACAATACCCCTTCCGCGCCAGGACCCCCACCATCAAAAGTACTTTTTAATTCAAACCCCACGTACTTAGGGCATAATTCGACTTTTTCAAATTTCCAAAACCATAATTCAAAGATCCAACAACCGCCCCCTATCGCGCCACCCCTTCCGGCTCCCAGAAATCAAATCAATAACGTCACAAATTTGCACAAGATCGTAAAATCTTGGGAATTAAAATTTCCAGGCAAATTAGACGCGCATGATTTTATTGATGAATTCGAGCGTAAATTGAATGCGAGCGCCATCAACCCCGACGATGCTCTAGCAACAATGTCCCAGGTATTGTCGGATACTGCCTACACATGGTTCACATCATTCCGCACTACCTGGCACACATGGGCTGAATTTGCGGTCAAATTTCGAAAATCATTTGGCGATTCTAACGATGATCAACAGATCACTAACAAAATTCAGCACGCTATACAATCCGAAAATGAATCGGGAATCGAGTTTATCGTCCGGATGGCAGCGCTTTACAATAAACTCCAAACAAAAATACCGGAAACAAGTCAACTTGACAAAATATATTCGGCTCTTCTTTCCGAACTACTTGTCCACTTTGACCGCGATAGCTTCACGGATTATGACGGTTTAATAGAAAAAGTGCGAAAATACGAGGAAAAAGTCGCGACAATGCAATCAACTAACAAAATTCGCGATCTTCAAAAGAAAAACCGTAATACGCGCGGGAAAAATCAGCTCAACTCGATCGAAAATTCATCGCTTCAAGCTGATGAAAACTCGGAAACCGCGCCACAAGCGGATCAAAAAAATGAAAATCCTCCGAAACAACCGAAAAATGACAAAAAGCAGGCAAAAGCAAATCCACAAATAAATTTAAATAAAGCAGAAATTTATAATCACCAAATAAATAAATTACAACAAAAATTAACGGATATGAATTTACCAGTCGGTCAATCCAAATCTAACACCGAAAAGAGGAGTAAGAAATCAACATCCTCTTCTCGGTCTAAAAATTCGCGCCGCCGATCTTCTTCGGAGTCTTCCAGCTCCTCTCGCTCTACTCGATCGCAGAAGGGGGGGGGGAGAGACGCAGATCGTCTACGCGCAAAAACCGGGATAGCGATACTAAGCCACATAAAAATGATAGCAAGAACGGTAATCGTGGCGGAAAACAATACAACAACCGCGGTAGAAATTGTGGAAATGGTTGGAATAATCGTGGTCGTGGTTATCATCACAACTATAATTATCACCAGCAAAATCCCAATTTCGCACAACATTGTCAACCAGACTGCCAGTGCAATGCCCACGCGCCGCCAACTTTTCCAGCCGCGCATGCGCCTTCGCACCCACAAACGCAGCACTGGCCCAACTACAACCGTGAGTTTCCCCCTTGCGGACACAATGTATCCAACTCATACCCGGCAAAAAACGAGAAGGATGCCAGGAGAGATTAAATCTCCCTGGCAAACCTCCAGAAAATAAAATACCGATAAATAATTTTTCAAACATCAACAATACCAAACTAGTCGATATTCATGCCATTCCGAGTTGCAGTCACTCCGCAAATGAGTCAACGTGCATTCCCCAAAATGCATTAGCGAATAATCAAGCGCATGCCAGTGGGAATTACACTAGTGACTCAGAAAGTGAGTATGACGAAGCACTCTATTCCGAATCTGAGACGGAGTACACAGACTCTAACGAGGAGCTTCCCTCCACCGACTCGCGATCGGTAGGACAAAGCATATCCTCGCTCCTGTCAACGCCCTCGAGGAAACCAGCCATTGGCTTATTAGCACTAGCTGGGAAACTCAAGCGCATAGTACGCAAAGGGCCCGCATCGCCCTTACCGTCGCAAGAAAAGAATTCCATTATTACTTCGGTTAAAATAGGAAATAGAGAATATGCAGGCCTTATAGACACTGGTAGTGACAGGACTTTCATGTCTGGCGAATTATTCGATGAAATCAAACAATTCGCGATTGACAATCCTGTCTATGATGCGATAACACGCGCCGGCGTACAACTCGCGCAACGCGATCATGTGGCCGCGCCTCGTTACACCATCAAATTTGACATTGGGATCAACGACTGTCATGGCGATTTCTGGTTCACAGTCCTAGACGGACTAACCACGCCCATAATTTTAGGCATGGACTTTATAACCAGTTGGAAAGTCATTATAGACGCCAACAAAGGTTATTGGTCCATGGAAGGATCAAGTATCCAACGCCCTTTGAGTCGCGCCTATAATGCGCATCACTCCCTAAACTGTACACAGTTAATTGACCTTTCACCTGAGCAAAGAAAAATTCTTGACGAATTCATTGATAGGAAACTATCAGGCTTTGCAACTGGTACCGGTGTCACCAATTTGACTACCCATGTCATTGAGCTGATAGATCCAACTCCATTTAAACTAAAACCCTATCGGCGAAGCGCAGAAGCAAGTAAAATTATTAACGATCATGTCGATAAATATTTGGAGAAAGAGTTCATAGTAAAAAGCAATGGCCGTTTCGCGAGCCCAGTAGTTTTAACTTACCGCAAGGATGGTAGGCCGCGAGTATGCATGGATTATAGAAAGCTAAATAAAAACACAAAAAAATCAGCGTATCCATTACCGCGCATGGATACTATTCTCGACGCCTTATCAGAAGCTCATGTAATCAGTACAATAGACTTGACAGATGCGTACCACCACATCCCGATAGACCCGAAGTCGCGCGAATATACCGCCTTCGTTATACCCGGGCGTGGACAATTCGAGTGGGTCCGGATGCCATTTGGCCTTACAAATGCGCCGGCCACCTTCCAAGCCTTGACTGATGGATTAAAAGATAAATTTATCGAACATGTTCGTAAGAACAATTTACTTGAGTGCTATATCGATCAAGTACATGCGTATTTGGATGATTGGATTGTCATTTCCAAGACCTTTGAGGAGCACATCCTGCTTTTAGATATCATCTTCAATATCTTACAGGAAGCTGGTTTATCGATAAATCGAGATAAATCTCATTTCGCTAAACCATCCGTTGAATATCTCGGTTTTATCCTTGATAAAGATGGACTCAAGCCCAATCCCAAGCGCATTGAACCGATCCTTGAACGTTCAAGTCCTCGTAATCGCAAAGAGTTGCGCCAGTTCAATGGTTCAGTGAACTGGTACCATCGACATTTGCGTAATATTGCGCGAGTACAAGGGCCGCTTAACAAATTAGCGAGCCCTAAAGTGCCTTGGTCTTGGACAGGTGAACATGAAACTGCATTTCAGGATGTTAAAAAATTATTGAAAGATGCCTTAACCTTAAACGCGCCGCGACCTAAATTGCCATTCTTTTTATACACGGATGCGAGCGATACTGGAATCGGCGCCGTCTTGACGCAAAAAGATGGAGATAAGGAATATCTCATTACGTGCTTAAGCAGACCTTTGCGAGGTGCCGAGTTAAATTACACTACCACCGAAAAGGAATGCTTAGCCGTAATCTTTGCAGTCAAGAAACTTCGGTGCTATCTCAAAGCTACCGAGTTCACAGTCATCACTGATCACTCCAGCTTGATATGGCTGCAAGGCATAAAAGACCCGCGTGGAAGACTTGCGCGATGGGCATTAGAGTTGTCAGCAAACCAAGTGAAAATTGAACACCGTAAAGGTACAACGAACGAGGCCGCTGACACTCTATCGCGCCTCTACGAGACCCACACAGCACCGAAAGTTTCCTAAACCTGTATTAAAGCTGTGCGTGCCAAGTTGGAAAAATTTACCGTAAAGCTTAGCACAGGTTGTGTAAATATGTAAATGTCCGCAATTGAGTAAATGTTTAGCGTAAAACTGTACTGAATCTTTAAATTACGTATTTAGTACAGGTTTAGCGTAAAACTGTACTGAATCTTTAAATTACGTATTTAGTACAGGTTTAGCGTAAAACTGTACTGAATCTTTAAATTACATATTTAGTACAGGTTTAGCGCAAAACTGTACTGAATCTTTAAATTACATATTTGGTACCCCTATCGAAAATTCCGATATCGAAACCTATATAGGAAACTATATGGGAAACTATATTGTTTCCCATATAGTTTCCTATATAGGAAGCTATATATAGCTATATATAGCGTCAATAATATAAAAAAAAAATTCTTCCGACGTGTTGACTCTGAGACGCGAACCCTCGACCATCATAGCTCTCAACCGCACTGGGAGCGCCTTAACGGGCTCGACCAGGGGAGGCTATGAAATATCTTGAGAAAATGTCGCTTATAACGAAAATACTTTAAACAGATACTTATATTATTTTGTAAAGTCATCAAACAGTTTTTCAGATGTTTATTATTACAAAGAGTATATTATTGTATACATATATTTTTTTCCAATGGTATATGCGTTTTAATACCCAATTTTATATTCGGAGTTTATTAACTTCAACATTTTAATTTAGAATGACATGAATTTACATTAGTTTATGAAAAAAAATTTGCTATACGAACATTGTTACTTAATTTATTTCCAAAAAAATTGAAATTTATGCAGAGTTCACTTGATTAAAATTTAAATTCATGTCATTCTAAATTAAAATGTTGAAGTTAATAAACTCCGAATATAAAATTGGGTATTAAAACGCATATACCATTGGAAAAAAATATATGTATACAATAATATACTCTTTGTAATAATAAACATCTGAAAAACTGTTTGATGACTTTACAAAATAATATAAGTATCTGTTTAAAGTATTTTCGTTATAAGAGACATTTTCTCAAGATATTTCATAGCCTCCCCTGGTCGAGCCCGTTAAGGCGCTCCCAGTGCGGTTGAGAGCTATGATGGTCGAGGGTTCGCGTCTCAGAGTTAACACGTCGGAAGAATTTTTTTTTTTTATATTATTGACGCTATATATAGCTATATATAGCTTCCTATATAGGAAACTATATGGGAAACAATATAGTTTCCCATATAGTTTCCTATATAGGTTTCGATATCGGAATTTTCGATAGGGGTACCAAATATGTAATTTAAAGATTCAGTACAGTTTTGCGCTAAACCTGTACTAAATATGTAATTTAAAGATTCAGTACAGTTTTACGCTAAACCTGTACTAAATACGTAATTTAAAGATTCAGTACAGTTTTACGCTAAACATTTACTCAATTGCGGACATTTACACATTTACACAACCTGTGCTAAGCTTTACGGTAAATTTTTCCAACTTGGCACGCACAGCTTTAATACAGGTTTAGGAAACTTTCGGTGCTATGTGGGGAGTGTCTCGGAAGACACGCCCCCATCACAGCTAAGTCACACCCGTAGCCAATCCTGGTACGACGAGTTAGTAAATCGAGTACAGCAGGCTCCCACGCGCTACGAAAGATATAAGCTCGATGATAATTCCGAACTTTACTATTACAAACCAAATCAACTGAAAGAAACCATAGGCGACAATAACGCGTGGAAAAAGGTTTTGAAAGAAAATGAAATCCTACCAACAATTACGAAATATCACGATTCCTCCCAATCAGCGCATCAGGGAATTCAAAAGACGTACTTGTCAATTTTGAATCACTATTATTGGCCCGGAATGCGCGAAGATATTAAGCGGTACCTTAACGAGTGTGAGATTTGTCTCAGGTGCAAACCTGACAATTCCCCTCCACAAGGTTTAATGTTTCCGCGCAAATTCATCGAACCCTGGGATACGGTATCGCTAGATATTATAGGACCATTACCACGTTCCAAATCAGGAAAATGTTACGTCTTAGTATGCGAGGACACTTATACGCGCTATATCGAATGCTTTACATTATCGAAAGCCGACGGTCCAAAAATTGTCAAATCATTGAACACCTTGATTAATAAATGGGGAACTCCCAGAGCGTTTATCACGGATAACGGAACAGAGTTCGTAAACCGTACCATTTCAAAATTTATAATGGAAATCGGCTCGGAACAACGAACAACTCCGGTATATCACCCACAGTCCAATCCTGTAGAGCGCGTTAATCGAAACTTAAAAATGATGATAGCCAGTCTCCTTGGAGAAGACCAGCGCGACTGGGACACGTTACTCGAAGAAATACAATTCGCGTATAATACCACTGTCCATTCTTCGTTAGGTGTAACCCCGGCCTTTTTAAACTTTGCTCGTGAACCAAGACGTACCGGTAAACAACCTCATGACATCGATGTCATAGCGATGACCGATGGGACCGCTGAAAATTGGCTGGAGCGTATAAAGCGTATCGATACTCTTCGCGCTAAAGTCGAACACTTAATGATTAAGGCTGTTAAGAGACAGAGTAAAACTTATAATAAAAACCGTAAAAATGTTATCCCTTTCGAGATTGGAGATTATGTGTTTTACCCCAATAACACTTTATCAAATGCCGTGCGTGGTTATAGTTCCAAACTAGCGCCACGTTACAAAGGACCGGCTACAATTACCGAAAAGGTATCTCCTATGGTTGTTATTATTAGTGATACGCATGGAAAGAAGCTTGGCAAATATCACGTAAATGATTTAAAAATGGCTAGGAAAAATCTCAGATCGCGAAATATCCTGTAAAATCGTTTTAGGTTAGATATCATCATGAGCAGTTCCGAAGGCAGTACTTCAACACCCAACGAGGGTTTACCAAGCGCAACACTGACGTATCTTACGTCCAGCATAGATGACCTCTTCGACGCCAACATCGATATCAATGCTGGAATCAAACCATCCGGTTTGACTATCCTCGCCAAGGCCGATGTGGAGAGCCTCATCAAGTCGCGTAACGCCATGGCTGCTCAGTTGAGGGAAGAACGCGTGACCACGCATTCACTACGCATGGGCTCCACCCAATCCCTATCTTCGTCAACAGAACCAAGTTTTAGACAGGTAGAGAAATTGTACGATTCATTGCTGACGGTCACCAATGAAAAGTCGTCGTTGACAGACCAATTGGCCAAAACCAAAGAAGAATTGCGTCACTGCAAATAACAAGTGGACAAATTACAAACGAAAGGAGAAAAGCTACAAGACAAATATGAAGCGCTACAAGAGGATTACGATTACGCGGCCTACGATGCAAAGCTGGCCAAACGATACAAAGATCTATTCCGAGAAACTTTGTCAGATGTTTATCGCGCAGTAGCAGAATTACGTGAACCGCAACTACGCCCAAGGGCAGAACAAGGATGCCTGAACTGCGGGACTCCAGGCCATAGTTACAGGTCGTGCACGAAGCCCTATTCTGGTAAATTCTGCCAAAAGTGCGCACATCCCGATTTTTCGACAAGCGAATGTCCTTGGCCTCATTTCGTAAATGGACCACCTGGGATACCAGAGCACCTCAGATGCAAGAGATGCTGGGGACCACTCAACGCTCCAGAGCCTTGCGCCTTGAGCAGCAATCTTCGTCATCCACTGCCAAAAAAGCAATAGGCCCACCTGGAAGTAGCAGGACACGATCAATTCCTCCACAAACCCCCCAAGTGGTTGGAGGATTACAACGCGCAACTGAATCAAACGCATCTGAGTTCGAGATAAACTATTGTTACCCGGCTGACTACGCTCTCCACAAAGCCCTTAATGAGGACAAGGAGGAACCGATTAACGATGGTGACGAAAATCCGGCCGTCCACAATCAGGAATCGACCGATACCCCGCAAGAATAGTGCGTCTCAATGTCCAAACAACTAAAAGTTGTTAATTGCGCCGTTGCGCATTGATCTGTGTGTTTTCTTTTTTTCTAAATAAATAAATAATTTCTTTCCTCTCGCGCCGTTGCGCGTTATATATAATACATTGTTTTCTTTTTTTGGTTACTATAAATGCGCCGTCGCGTATTAACATTATTATATTTTTAGTTATTTCATTGCGCCGTTGTGCGCCAATAGTATTATATTTTTGTTTGTGTTTCACATACGCGGTAATACGCCATCAAAGACTGAGGTTATCGCATTATTCCAAATGTTAAGAATAAACCTCGTAATATATTATAGTACATTAAATAACACGTTTGTAATTGGTCTATCGACGCAGCGCAACTACCTCATCTAAATGAGACTGATTAATGTAGTTAATAAACGAAGAATGATAATTAAATTCTTAACTGTTATTCGTTCATTCATAATTACCATATCATAGAGAGCATATGCGAGATCCAATAATTATTGGTGGATCATCTTGACACACATGTGACGCTCCATGAGAAAAGATACTTTATCGTCAGTTACCATAAGATCTATTCTCTTTTGCGAAGTGTCACCTTTTCATTGTTCGTTTTTTATCGTTTTGTTTGAATTTCTCTACAATCTTCTGAAAACTGCGTTGAAGAAAGTAAGTTTACTTTTTAATAATCACTATATATTAATTACTTTTTCATGTTTTAACATTATTTTGGCATTTATAATATTGGTAGAGTGGGTATAATGTTCATTTTGAGGTTAGGAATACAATTGTATGTGCACAAAAAATTTCGTTATTTATTTATTTATTATTATGATTCTCATTATTAAACTGTTCATGTTATTGTCACATAAATTGAGCTTTAATATATTTTTTTTATTTTTAATATACTATTTGACACAAAATATTGTTATACAGAGGTATAGTGATTATATATGGATTTTTAGGTTTAATTAATTTTAATGGACAGATATTACCCAGTGGACCAAAAACCATCATTGTTCGAAAAACGTTCCTGAAACGTTTTTAGAACGTTTCATGTCGGCCAAATAAAGCACCAAAAACGTTACATGTTTTTAAAACGTTTTAAAAACATGTAACGTTTTTGGTACTTTATTTGGCCGACATGAAACGTTCTAAAAACGTTTCAGGAACGTTTTTCGAACAATGATGGTTTTTGGTCCACTGGGTAGTATGTATCAGTAAAAATAAAACAATTTTTTAAAATAATTTTTCCTTGCTTAATTATACAAAATATTAATAATTAATAAATAAAAATCTTTTTATGCTTCAGAGTAGAGAAATATAGTGGACACCAGAGGGTAGAGGATTCTATAAATTTTAATTTCAAATTAAACCTGATCATTTAAAATGTCGCTGAATGAGGAAGAATTTTCTCAAAATTGTGATGGTTCATCTCTTTCTCAGCATGCAGGTAAATTTATTACAGTTTTTAATTGTGTCGATTTTCAGAATTTTCAAGTTTAACGTCATATTTATTATTCAGAAAAGTATTCTTTTTTTGACCCTTTTCAACAAGAATAATTACTTTATTTCAATAATTTATAAAAGAAAAATTAGATAGGCTTTTATTTTTTTCAAGAAATTTGAATATGTCCTAGATTTAATATAATAATTTATGGCTGTAAATTATGTAATCAAATTAAATCAGTAGGAGTACATGTGGATTAAAATTTATAGAAAAAAACAATACGTATGGAAAAAGTATAATTTTATGTTTTTAAGGGGTTATGCCACTCTAGAGACCGAAAAAATAGGTGTTTTATGTGAATTTTTTTTAGAAAAACCATAAAGTCAATTAAAAATATAATATAAGAAGTTTATTATACATCTTTTTAGGTGTAAAAAAATAATTTCTTATAAATATTTCTTGAAGAATGGTGGCGCTGTAGCGGTCGTCCTTCGACTCCTCTATGGTTCAAGGGGTACGTGGCCGAACTAACTGCTCCTGTAAATTTTGAAATATCTTGAGTATCTAAATTTTTTTTTATTATATATTACAATAGCTAAAGTAACACGTAGGATTTTTTCGATATATTAATTCATGATCAAATGGCGCACTTCTAAAGTTAAACTTTCTAATTTCGACTAAAAAACCATCAGTTAATAGTTAATAACAAATGAACTATATAGAATAAAAAAAAAATCCTACGTGATACCTTAAAAAATGTATTTTTAAAGATGTGTGTCAAATTTGAACCTAATCGGTTGGAAATTGTACGAGTTGTTGGTTCGGCCAACTCGAAAAATGTAGTTTGGAGATAAACGCGTTTAAAGTTTTAAGTTGTAAAAAACTTAAATAATTTCACAATACCTTTAATCTGCAATGCCTGCACCATATAATTGACCACTATAGTCTAGCAAGTAACTAGCGCCTTTGAAAACATCTGCCGTATACCTGCTGTAGATCCTTCAAATATTACCCCCCGTAGAACATACAAAATGAGCTCGCCGCGTACCGTGCAGCCTTGCAAGGAACTTCGAAAATAAATTATTTAGAGATCTTTCCGAGCCATAATCCTGCAATATGTTATTTCTGAGACCCTAAGGAACTATTTAAAGCAAAAAAAAAAAAAGCGATTTTTTGAAAATCCTAGAGTGGCATAACCCCTTAATACATAATTTAATTTCTAATTTAACTGTAAATGTAAAATAATATTATCTTTATAATTGTAGAAAAACAAGATTCTGTTGTGAATATGAGCATTGATAAACCACAACCCGATTGCTCAGGGGAAAATATTGAGGAGAACGATCATACAGAAAATACTAACGCTGACGAAGAAATAAATGGAGAAATTGGATCCGAACAGACAAAAGCGTTAAATGAAAATCAAAAAACTTCTCGAAGTAAGAATCCTCATATAGATATGGATATTGACGAGCTAGTTGAAACTATAAAAGATTGTTTAATCCTCACTGCGCGTAGCTTTGAACGAAAACTGATAAAAAAAGTTACCAAAAAATTGAGTGAAATTGAAACTACTTTTGGGAAAAATGTCAATACGCCATTATTATTTGATTTAAAAGATAAAATTGAGGTATTAGAAGTTGCCTTACCAATGGACGATCCAGAAGTCTTCACTGCTTTTGACTTAGAAGTGTCGGGAAGTCCGGAAAAAATAGAAGCACTGGTAAATTTAAAGTTGTTTTTTAAATATTAAAATTATCATATCTTACACAGAAATTTAAACAATGTCAACTTCAAAATAATGTATTTTTGTTTCCAGAAATCAATAATGTCAGTTTCCGCTCGACGATCTGCAAACCTGAAAGAAGCTATACCAAACATTTTAAAAACATTGATTGCAAAACCCATTCAACAATCATACAGCGCTCTTGGAAGAGGAAAAAATAATTTGGCATTCAATGAAACATTTACTTACAAGACAATGAGAGGTAATATTTTTTATTTTTATATTGGACAAAATTTTTCAAGTGAACGATCACAACAGTGGATCGATCACAACAGTCGACAGTGGGTTTTTTTAATAGAAGCAGCTTATTATACATACATATATCAGGGATCACAGACTTTAACTTTTTTTTTAGATTTTATCACCTATTTCCCCTATTTTCAGAATTTATCTTTTTTATATTCTTCAATTCTGAGATTCAGTCTATTAAAAATACAATCAGTGATTAAAAATTCAATTACTCCAAATATTAATTGAAAAAATCCATTATTATTAATAATAATCAATTTTAAATTCAGTTAAATCGAAATTTAATCAATTGAAAACTTAATGATTTAAATTTTAATAAATTGAAAAATCAATTCCAAATTTTAATAAATTATAAATTCAATTCTTACAAACTCCAATTAATTAAAAATTCAATTATTCTACTTTCCAATCAAATAAAAATTCAATTCTAAATAAAAATAATTTATAAATTCATATATTCTACATTCTAATTAGTTAAAAATTTAATTATTTCAAATTTTAATCAATTATAAATTAAATTATTTCCTTATTTCAAATAAGAAGTTAGAAACTCAATTACTCCAAATTTGAAATTTTAAAAAATTATTAATTAAATTAGTACGGATTCTAATCAAATAAAAATTTAATTATTCCAAATTTTAAAATATTAAATAATTGAATTTTAAATCAATTGGAAGGTGTAATAATTGAATTTATACTTGACTAAAATTTAAAATTGAATTATGAATTGGTTAAAATGTAAAACAATGTAATTTTTAATCGACTGAAATATGGAATAATTGAATTATTAATTGTTTAAAATTTACAATAATTTTTTAAAATTGATTTTTCATTTGTTTTAAAAAAATGTTTTAAGTTTCAATATTGACAATTTTTTTACTTAAATTTTTCTTAATAATTTTTTTTTCAAAAATTGAGCTTAGAACTTTTTTCAAAATAGATATTTAACGGTTTTGATAATTTTGATTTACTGAAATGTTTTGGGTAAATTTGTTGTCACTTTTTAGTTATTTATTTTTAGAAAATTATTCACCTTTTTCTCTATTTTAAGGAAAAAAGGTACTGTAATCCGTGATGAATATTAGGGTGAAAAATATTTTACTTACATGTTTTATTAAATTTTTTGATAAAAATAATATTTGGTGGATAAATTACATACCCTTTGTACTAAATATTTTTTAAATTTTAGCCCCATCCAAAAAACCTTTAATTTTTGATCCATTAGCTTAACGGATTTTGTCTTATACTAAGTAATTTTAATTGCTTATCACTTACTTCTAATTTTAAAAATATTTTGCAGATGTACTCTTGGATTTTTTCAACGGCACTATTTCAGAGTCACAAATAAGCAGTGAATTAAGCACTTGGTTGGGACGAGCTGTTGATCGTGAAGGAGGCCGAAAGGAACGTTGATTACTTACACTATATTCATAACACATTTATTTTTTTAATATAAAATATTTATATTAGTTTTTTCGAAACGTTAAACGGTAAAAAAACTATTTTTGAGTCATATAATATTTTGTGCCAAATATCATTGTTTAAATAATAAAAAGTTGTTTCTAATTCCAGTATTTTATTATTTTGTGGCTTCTATCACCCGTTTAAGACTCTTAATGAATTATTAAGAAAGTAAAAATATTTTTACTGGGTCGCAACTTATGAAATCATTTTTCATTTATTTTCACATGCGAGCGTATAGTCTAGTGGTTAGCGTATTAGTCTGCGGTGCGTTAGGTCAGGGTTCGATCCCAGCGAGCGTCAAATATTTTCTAAAATGTATGTCGACAATTGCGTTTAATAATAATAGTTTAAGGTTTATGTAATGTTCTTCACAATAATAATGTGTTAATTGTGTAATTAATAATTAATTCACGTTTGTAATTAATTTTCAGCTTTTTTTTTTAAGTTGGGCCAACTTTGGGATCAGTTGTTGGGCCAACCTTTGACACCAATGGACGGTTAACCGTTATCATTTGTATAGTTTGCCCAACCACTGTCAGATTAAGTTGGCCCGCCTATTCACTTCAAAGTTGGCCAAACTTTAAAAAGTATGGTTGGCTAAACCTACACATCTAAAGTTGGACCAACGTTCGGATCAGTTGTCGGGACAACCTTTGAAAGTGATGGTTGGCACATCTTAAGTATTTTAAGTTGGACCAACGTTGGCATTAGTTGTTGGGCCAATCTTTGAAAATTACGGTTGGCACAACATACGCATTTCAAGTTGGACCAACGTTGGCGTCAGTTGTCGGGCCAACCTATGTCGCCAATGGTTGGCGGACCGTTATCATTTCATAGTTGGCCGAACCTTTGGCATGCGAAGGAGGGCCAACCATAGGTATAGTTGGCCCAACTTTGGGCCGACCAAAAATTCGCACCTGGGTTTATGAGTGAAACTGAACACAGTAAAAAGACGCAACGTTTTTAAGACAGGCATTGTTGATTTTAAAAAGGGAGTATGTAAGCTGATTTTCAGAACTTTTTATGTGCTATATTGAAGGCAATTTTTTGGTAAAAGCAGCAGCCCCAAGCTGAATTTAAGACTTAGCTTTTATAAATTAAGGCTCAAAGGGAGTTGAATTTCAAACACTCTGTAAATTCAGATTTATGAGTACCTTAAATTCATACAAGGCTCACTTTAAATTAAGACTATGTTGATTTCCAAGAATCATTTAATTTAAGATTAACCTTAATATAAGATTTACTTTTTACTGTGAAACATTAAGTAAAATAACAGGCAATTATTAAAAGTCAAGTGTATTTTTAGTGCACGGCACTTTTTTCATTAATATTATAATTATATAAAACTATATTAACATAAGTTTAGTATATCTAAATTATCATAAATGCAATAACATTTATTATTCGTGTACTTTTCGTTACTATTACTAGTTCTGCAACACTCTTAGTGCACAATCATATGCACAGTATTCCGCCAATCTATTCGATTCAATTATAACAGTTTTAGCAATGGAGGATTTATATTACTATGTATATGAAATTATGCAAGGTATAATATATCAAATAAATTATGTGATTCTCTTCATTTTGTTTACTTTAGTCACACTCCTTGAGCATTCATTATACATAAATCTAGCATATCTAATCTAGGTGTAAAACATATGTCTACGTCATTACTGACTCTTTACACCCTTTGTGCATTCATTGGACGTATAAGTCAAGACTTATTGTTTCTTATATATAGCAGATATACTAACAGTGCTCAATATATATATATATATATATATATAGTTTCGTCACACTTTCCTTTTAACATATTTTTTGCCCGGTTATGTTGGCCCCCCATTTTCATGAGATACCATACATTTTAGGGGCCAAAAATAAGTTTTTTTAAATTTTAACGGGCAAGTACCCCTCAGATCGAGCTGCCAAAAAAATATGTTGCTTCTTGGATGTTAAAGAATGAAGGAAAAAAATATGGTGATTGTGCCAAATCAATTAATATTTTTAAAAAATATAAAAAGTAAAAAAAAATTTTTTTTTACCCCTTCCACTACACAAAAATGGTCGCCAAATTTTGGTTAGATGCATTTTTGCTTCCCCTATAACATATTTTTTACCCGATTAAAAAACTTTAAACGCTTAAGAGAAAATCCAATTTTTAATTTTTTTTTAAAAATGCCATAACTTTTTTCAAAATTATTTTTAGAAGTTGAAACTTGTCGAAAAAAAGTTTCATACTGAGACTAATTGATCCTGTAAATATCGACGAAATTTGAGCGGGGGCCGCAGGACCCTGCTTATCTGGCTACGGCCTTTATGCGGTAATTCAGTTGACATAAAATATAAATAATTATTAATTTTATTGAGAAATATTTGAAGGCCAGACCATGACGATTCTGTGATTCCCTATGCACATTTGATGCTTTTAATGTGTGAAAAACAACAAAATTAATTCTGAAAGCAGTTTCTCCCTTAGTAATTCACTTAGGAGAGCTTATTGTTGCTTTTAACTAATGGTGAGTGAAGTTTTGATTTTATTTTTATGTAAAGAAAATGCTATTTTATAAAAAGGCAAGACCATGACGCAAAAACGAGGGACCCCGAAATTTCCTGTGTATCTACACGGAAAAAAATTTTCTGGTAATTCTTTAACGTCGATTTAGAGATTTTACATGTTCCTAAATCTGTTAATTCTACAGATATTTTCTGCAAGGATTTAACGCATGCGCGAAAACAATGCAGTGATTCGACTAAGGCTGAGTACGATTGAGTGCGAGAGGTTAAGGCGAATTTAGTGTTTTTATTATTATCATAGTGTCGGCAAGAAAGTTTAATTAAAAAGGAAACGTCTTAAGTATATAAACATTATTATTCTAGAAATAAATTATTACAAATTTTTTATTTTAAAATTAACTGTAGTGATTAAGTGAGAAAAGTCGTTTGTTTCAATTTCTCGACATAAGAAAAAGTGTATTTATCATAAGTTTTGAAAACTTGCTCCTCATTTTTTTGTTAGAAAATTATTGAAGGATGAATTTATTTACATAGAAGTTATACTAATTTATACAATAATGTTCCGCGAATTTAATGTATTCGGAGGAGAATATAACCTATAAGAAATACTCTACCAAATATATATTATCCCCATATAGTATACATAATTTGGTCACTCAACAGTTTTTAAGAACTGTAGCTCAAACTTGTAGAATTAACAGATTTTAATGCAAATGATTCAACATATTTCTCTATTTGGAGAAACATCAGTAGATGGCGCAGGAGTTTCTGTAAATTCTACAGAAAATTTTTTCCCGTGTAGTTTCAAACTTTATATTATAAGCTTTATACATATTATATTTATATTATTATTATTATAAGTTAATTATATATATTCTTTATGATTATTATCGAGTACGTTAAGAGCAACAATTTTTTTTCTCAGATAGCTGGTTGTTTGGCTTGTCGGTTAGGGTCTTTGGTTATCGTCCGTCGAAGACGTGTTCAATTCTCAGTCCTCTCAAATTTGTTTCGAAAAATTTCTCGTTAAGTTTCGAAGTGAAAATAAGCAGAGTATAATTAATAAAAATAAATAAATAATTTTTTTAATTTATAAAGTATTTTTGAAAAATTTGATAAGAAGCTTACAGCAAACTTTCACGGGAAGCTTGCTGCAATCATTCGTAGTAAGTTTGCAGCAATCTTTCATGGCAAGCTTACAACATGCTTTCGCAGAAATCTTGCCACGGGTGGGACATTTGGCTAGCTCTGCCAAGCTTGCATGCTATGCTTGCCACAAGCTTCCGTGCTATTTGGGTAGAGTCATAAATTTTTTCGTAAATGCATTTCATTTGAGGAAATGTAATTTTGAAGGGTAACTTCAGACATGGGACGAATATGTAACGTACTTGGAAAGAGTGTCAATTACTTTTAATATTCGAAATTTTTTTCGGAGGTTAGGAAACATAACTTAAGCATTCAAAAAGTATTCAAAAAATACATTCAGAATTCACTTGAAAATTCAAATGTACTATTAATTAATTTTAATTAATTTATTTTATTTCCTTTTAAACAAAATTATAAAAATGGTCAGAGAGCTTTGGAATACTTTACTATTAAAACAAAAATTGTTTCATAAAATAATTAACCTAAATATTTGTAAGTTGCGCATAAAATTATAAAATGTCCGAAGTTACCGGACCTTGGTGGCTAACTAAAGAAACTTATTATTTCCCAAGTAGAAATGTCCGTAGCTCGGCGTAATTAAACACCGTCATGGTACTGATCCAATACTGGCCGTCGGTATTGACTTTCAGTGCTGGCAGTGTACTGACTAATACACCGAATCAGTACTATGTCGGAGGTAAAAAAATATTAAAACCAGTACTGGAAGTACACTGTCATTCACACCGAATCAGTACTATGTTGGTGGTAAAAAAACATTAAATGAAAAAGTCTTCAAATTATTCCAATAGGTAGAAAACGATGATTTTTTATTAAAAAATAGGTTCATTAATTTCTTTCCAATACTTTCTCTGAAAATTCTTTATCTAATTGTTATGTATTATTATTATATCTATATATAAAATATATTTATGTTTTTATTAGTTATTTTAATACTCATTGAAATATGTGCATTAAGTTACTTATCATGCATACAATAACAATAGGTTGAGAATTTTTTTCTAATAGTTTTAAAAATAAAGCAAATGTAATTCTTAAATAGGTATTATTAATAATTAAATATTAAATTTTAAAATTTTTTTACCATTCATATTTTACAGTCGTATTTTATTAACCTATTTTTAATTATGTAATTCATCAATCATATTTTTCTGTTTTTATATTATTATTCACCGTAAGAATAATTTATTAAAAATATTTAACTGAAATTGATATCCAGTTTTATTTCATAAAATCTTTGTAAAAATTAAAACATTTTGTGAGATAAAAAAATTCAAGAATAAATTCATTTTATTTTCGTGATCAATAGATAATACTGTCTGCGAAATCAAAACTTTTGCATTAGGGTAAACTATTTCAAGTGAGCATGTCAAGCCAGCGCGGCTATGCGGTATGCGTATATGACTTGCGTTCTTAGGGTTTAGGGTTCGATCCCCCATGCGTACGAGATTGTTCTTTCTTAATTTTAAGTGTTTTAAGTACAATATTTGTCTAACTGTAATAATAATTATTAAATTAAGTATAAGTGCAAAGTAAAAAAAAAGTAAATAGTATGAATTAAAAAAAAAAAAATTTTTTGTAAATTAATTTATTAAAAATAATATAATTTAATTAACATAAATGATAATTATTATTTTAATTATTTATTATTAATAATAGTTTATATATATTCTAAATTAAATAAACTATTATTGCCCTCAAATTACCTTTTCGTGGTAAAAATGGGAGTAATAAGCTTATAAGGATGAAATTTGCAATGGAAAGAGTATTATATAGTATTTTGTAAAAAAAATGAGATTTTAACTCCGAATGAGTGCCAGTATTATGCCAGTATCATTCCAGTACTACGTTAGTACTGGTGAGCGTTACAAAATCAGTACTGGACAGCGTTACCAGCCAGGGCTGTCCCAGTACGGCAGTCAGTACTGTTATACTGACTGGCAGTGTTGGGTCAGTACTATGCCAGTGGCACATTTCTATTTGGGTTACTTCAGAGAAAATAATAAGAGATAAATATCCAATCAATACAAAAACTTGCAGGAAGCTTGCAGTCCATGATGTGCTAGTTTGCAGTGCAAACATGTAGCAAGTTTGGTGCAAGCAACAAAATGTCCTCTTACGGCAAAGTGATCAAGCAAGCTTACAGCAAACTTGCTACAAGCATGTATAATATAAAAAAATTTAGAAACAATTGATTTTTAAATAAACATAAAGGGCACCCAGCCTTGAAGATTAAAAAACTTATTGTGCCGCCGTAGGAGCTTCCATTTACAACTGCGTTTCGTGCTAAGTTATGAAAACTTGCAGCAAGCTTTCTTCAAGGTTGCCCTAACAGCGTGCCGTAAGAAGACATTTTGTTTCTTGCATCAAACTTGCTACATGTTTGCACTGCAGTCTCCCACAACAAGTTACTTTGTACGCAAGTTTTCGTGCTGATTAGGTAAAGAAACACTTTTTAGATAAATTAATAATGTGTAAAATAAATGACGTATTGACAGCTTAACCATTTTAAACCATAATTTTTCAAACTACCTAAATATCTATAAAATCTTTATTGTTATGATAATATTTAAAAATTGTGTTACAAATAAGAAATAAATGTACAAATATTATTATTTTACTATTAAATATTTTTATGATTTGCTCTTTCAAATAAACTGTTCAAACAATCAAAGTGTTGACTATTTGACTATTCTAAAAAATTATTTTGATTCATCCATCGTCTAAACAATTAAAACGGACTATTGGCCAATTTCAACAATTTAAGTGTCGACTATTTTATTAAAGTTGTCACAGAAAAAATCTAAATAAAACGACAGTCACAGTAAAAAACGTAGGTGTGTGAAAATAAATATTTATTTTTATGGTATAAAAGTAAAACATAAAGTTTTAATTAAAAATCCTCAGAAACATCGTCGTAATTTTCATCATCATTGCCATTATTATCGCTATTATCATCATCATCTTCATCATTTACCTCATTTACCTCATCTACCTCTTCTTCTTCTCCTTCTTCTTCAGAAGAAAAAGAATTAATTTTTTCTAATACTGTCGATCTAAAAATAAAAATAATTTACGATAAACCTGAGTTATAAACCAATTAAGGCTCATGTTTGATATAATATGTAAAAGAACATGTACATTTGCTTGTAAAGTTCTGTACAAGTTTTGATATAAGCACTTGTTTCCAATTTTTGTATTAGATTTGTTATATTTTAATCGATAATGTGACTCAAATACAGTAAGATTGTCACTCAAAATGAAACTCATCATCAACAAGAGGGAAAGTGATTATCAAAATTAACAAATGTGGAAAATAAAATCAGCAAAAGTGCAAACAAAATTCATTACATTTAAAATCAAGATTAGTAGCAGTAAATACTCTCTAAATCTGAATTAGTAGTACTTACTTACGACTTACTAATGAATTAGTAGTTTTTTACTAACAATTAGTAGGGGAGAGGGCCCCAAGATGGACATAGTTTTGATTTTGTACTCTGGAATCCAAACGTTTTAGAATATTTAAAAATGGTGTATAATAAGCCAAAAGTTTTAAACGTTCAAGTGAACAAAATTTTTTTTGTAACTTCTTTAAGTATGAATTTTATTACAAAATATTGTTTAAATATCTAAAAAGAAGTTATTAATTTAATATTTGTTTAATTTTCTGTTTTATTTTACATTAACATCAACTCTGGCGGCCGACCGAAATTCGCACCTGGGATACTATAAATAAATGAGGTTATTACGATATGCACCTATTCGAAACCAAAAATATAGATAATTTTAACGACTGAAATAAAAGCTGTTACAAAACTTTTTAAAACGAAAAATCCACGTAATATGTGTTACAGAAAGAAAAACAATTCTTTCCGATCCGTGCTTATATAAAAAGCTTCATCTAAACAAACTAAGTCAGTAAAAAAATTCACGAGGCGATATATATTTATACGAAAATTTTATATTAAATGTCCATTTTGGGGCCCTCTGCTAGTTTTTTTTACTACAAATTAGTCAAAACTATTACTAATCTAATTGGTAAACGAATCCGCACTCTTTCATTAGTAGAAAACTACAAATTCAGATTTAGAGAGTATAAAGCTAAATTACATAATCGACCTTTAAGTTACAATTACTTTGTAAGTATTTAGTTTTTTAAAAATCTAAATTATTATAAACATGAACATGCAAATATATATATTAACAACTTACGTAACGCGTCTGCAAGAAAGAGCTTTCTGCACCGTCTCTTTAAATTTTTTTTTATATATGACTTTATCAAATCCTACGATTTTCGTTTCAGGATCATTCTGCATTTCTTGCACAACACCTATGTTTAAAATTACATTATTAGTGCGCTGGAAATAATTATAACTAGCATTCTTGTCACATATTGTTACTTAACAAAGTTCTTTAAATAAAATAAGTTTATGTTAAATGTTGTATATATAAATAAACACTATTCACCCTTATTAATAATTTTTTATTGTAGATTTAGAACTTTGGCTGTTAGTATGATAGTTTGGTATTGATAATTTGCTATTATAGATTTGAAATTTAGGCCGTTGATGCGCCAGTGTTTATCAGAGTAACTTTTACGGTATCTTGGCTGCCATTATTCCGCAGATAGTTAACATATTAACTTAAAAAAAAGTAATTATTTTTTATTTGGTTTCTTTTTAATCTAATTTTCGATCAAATTTTATGTATTTTTACAGAAAAGTTCTTTTAAGAAATGTCAATTTCTATTTTATGTATAAAAATAGTTTATCTTATGAAAATAATAGTTTTTACGTCTAAATTAAAATTTCATTTAAACAAATATCTTCAAAATAGCAGCTGAATTAGTTGATTCAAAATACCTATCAAAACTAAAACCTTTTTCTAAACACTTGAGTGAGTTGCATGTTGAATGTCCACTTGATTCTTTGATATCATTTTTATATATACAACATAACAAATATTCTGAAACTTAAGTTCTTCAATTTTGTTCTGTATTAAAAAATTAACTTATTTCATTTAAATAACTTTAGTAAATAACGAAATTAGGGTACAACATATTTACGATCAATATTGAAATAATCTTCCGTATTGATCTGCAGAAAGTCTTCCTCTTTCACACCAGGGGGCTTCCTTGCCGCAATGACTTTATTAACGTCTTTGGGCCAGTAGCCTGCAGCAATTTTGCGCACACTCGACAAGTTATTGTCTGCGCGCTTAACGCTTTATAGTACAAATTTTTGTCAAGCACTACACCAGCACAGAGAGTCTAAAAAGATTGTTATTGAAATATATTAATTTCACCATACTATGGATCAAATATAATAGGTTATTAACACTTACTTTAAATTACAGAAAAAATAAAAACCTTACTATTTAATAAATTGTTTTTAAATATTTCTACAAATTAATTATATTTTCTAAAACCAAAAAATATTATAACAATTAAAAAACTTAAAACTATCTTTTAATTTAATTAAATAAAAAATGAAAAAAGAAATAAATTATAACATTTCACGTAAAATTTCATAGATTAAAGAATGTAAAAATTGTCTTTCAAAAATTAAAACAACTGTCCCTGAGGTATACTTTAATGTAATCTAATGAAGTACATACTGTATTTGCAGTTTCGTTTCGCACAACTACATTTTGAGCCTCGACCGTTTCTTTTAGTTGGTTAAAACCAGCTAAAAGAATATTTTGTTGCGCCTCGCGCTCGGCTAAAATTTGTGCATTACGCGCTTCTCGCTCTTCTTTCAGGAAAGTATTCTCGGCTTCTAGTCGAGCTTTTTCTAAATTGATCCTTTCCAGCTGTTGCTTCAACTCCTCCACTTGTTTTTTAAGATCGGTGCATTTAATGCACCTCCCTTTTTTAGTGGCGGTTTTTTTTCCGTCTGCTAAATAAATAATGACAATATGTTATACTAATAATAAAATTAAACATATATTACCAATAATAAACTAATATTAAATACATAAGATAGAGTAAATTCTTTAATCATTTGAAAAATACATTTCTTAAGAACAGGAATTTAGCCATCAAGAGCAATTTAGGACGTATTTAAGGTCGCTGATCAAGAATCTAAAGTCAGATTTTAAAAATTTTCTAGTTGCTGTGGTAGGTTTAACCCTTCTGCTGTGAGAAACAACAGCTTTCCCACATAGAACGACTTCTTGCTGGGAGGTTACTGTAACGATATCTGTAGGGTTTGTAAGGTTACCGTGAAAGCCTGCAGTAAACTTGAGGTCATCTTAAAACTTCCGCCTTACAGTAAGCTTACACAGTAAAGCTAAGGTAAGCTTACCCAGTAAGGTCGTGGTAAATTTACATGGTAAAGTTGTGGTAAGCTTACACGGAAAGATAGTTGTAAGCTTCCTTTAAGGTTACTGTAAGGTTGATGTAAGGTTACTGTAAACATAGAATGTTGTTAATAAATAAAATTTATTAATATTTATGCGCAGTAGTTTTCTATGGCACATACGGATCCGCAGTAACTTTTATTTGACAAACCCTATTGGGGTTCATAAAGTTCTTTACCAAATACATCATTTTTTATACAAAAAAATTTATAATATAATATATATTATAATATAATTATTTTTAATATATTTTCATATTACTTTATATTAATAGTAACCTTACAGCAACCTTACAGTAACCTTACGGGAAGCTTACAACAACCTTACCATGTAAGCTTACCACAACTTTACCATGTAAACTTACCACGACCTTACTATGTGTAAGCTTACCTTAGCTTTACTGTGTAAGCTTACTGTAAGGCGGAAGTTTTAAGATGACCTCAAGTTTACTGCAGGCTTACACGGTAACCTTACAAACCCTACAGATATTCTTACAGTAACCTCACAGCAAGAAGTCGTGCTATGTGGGTTAATATGGTTTTAAAAAGTTAAGAAACTTTTATATTAACAAAAAGGTTAAAACTGTGCACTTAAGTTCTTGAGGTCTCTGATTATGAATCTGATGTTAGTTTTTCAAAATCTAAAATGGCGAAACTAATAGGGCGGATATATTTTTCTAAATTCTATGGATTTGCTTAAAACTCGTTACGTGGGGGATTTTAAAGTCGCTAATTTCCCTTAAGCTTAGTGGAAATCAGCGACTTCAGTACCCAAGTAACAAGTTTTAAGTAAATTCTAATGATTTTTAATTTTCCAGTCCGCCATTTTGAATTTTGAAAAACAAACATCAGATTCGTATTCACAGACCACGAAAACCCTTCATTAACAAGTTTTAAATAAATTCTAATAATTTGTTAATTTTTCTTATTCAAATTTTGCAAGTTTTAAAATCCCTGAGTAACGAGTTAAACTGATTTCATATTCGTAATTAGTAAACAGAATATCAAAACAGGTCACTTTTGAGAACACAGAAAATTAAAAGGCATTAAAATAAGCTTCAACGCTTATTACTTTAATCCAATTTTGCTTATTTTAATCCATTTTGGTATTAAAATAATCAAAATTGTATTAAAATAATAAGCGTTGCAGCTTATTTAAATACCTTATAATTTTCTGTGAAGATATATTGGATTTTAAATTTTTGACCTCAAATTAGGATTCACGGTTCAAAATATCTTAAATAACGTTAGTATGATGTATATCTGCTAAATTTTGTTATTAAAAATTTTTTTGTATGTAAATGTATAGACATATCTTATAGTGAGAGCCCACCTTAGAATGTACGTATATAGACGTACCTCTCAGTCAAGGGGTTAATATGTCGGACAAAAATTAATAAAAATTTAAAACATAACTCCCACATAAGCATAGGCGATTGAAAATGGTAAAAAAAATAGTACATATGACGTAATATAACACGGTACCCTGGAACCAAGCTCAACATTCTCCCTTTCAAAAATCCCTGTTGCAACTTGTTCGGGGTACCTCACTGAATATTTTTCAACAAGAAAAATCAAAATCCGTCGGGCGCTTTTTTTTAATTTCAATTTTTGTGATTTTAGCGCCAAATTAAAAAAAAACTGGTTTTTATAATTATTTAAAGTAAAATTCAACTTCACATGGTCAAATTTTGTTCAAGAAATTATACAAAATCATAATTCCGGTAGAAATTTTTCTGTAGAATCGAAATCTGACATTGGCTTTCGAATTAAAAGCAGAGGAATCCCAGAAAATCCGAAAAACTGTAAATATTCTAAAAAAAATCTCACCGTAGCGTCGTTTTTTCCAAATTGTCTGTTAAATTTTATAAAAATAAGAGCAATTTCAAAATTTATCGAAATTTCCCAATAAGTAACAGTTACATTTTCCAATTTACAAAACAAAATATTATAGAATGAACATTTTTTTGTCAGTGATTAAAATTTTGAATTTAAAAGTTACCAAAATCTAGGGTAAGTTTACGACGTTTCTACTGATTTTAAATTTTCTGATTCAAATTTGCTTTCTGTTATTAAATATGTAAATATATAAACAATTTTTTAATTCGTTTCTAGTCTGTTTTTTCCCAAGAAATTTGCGCCTGCGCCAATTAATCTTGGCTTTTTCACAAAGAACAATTTGTATATTTCGAAAACCAACGCAGCAGTTTTGTGGAATTTACCACTGCTGTTTGTAGATGGCGTAAGGAATTCTGTTTTTAATACAGAAAAAAAATTTCGACACAGAAAACTTGAAAAAAACGACAGTGAGATTGCTTTTAGAATATTTACAGTTTTCCGGATTTTTTGGGATTCCTCTGCTTTAAATTCGAAAGCCAATGTCAGATTTCGATTCTACAGAAAAATTTTTACCGGAATTATGATTTTGTATAATTTCTTGAACAAAATTTGACCATGTGAAGTTGAATTTTACTTTAAATAATTATAACAACCAGTTTTCTTTAATTTAGCGCTAAAATCACAAAAATTGAAATTAAAAAAAAGCGCCCGACGGATTTTGATTTTTCTTGTTAAAAAATATTCAGTGACGTACCCCGAACAAGTTGCAACAGGAATTTTTGAAAGGGAGAATGTTGAGGGTTGAGATTGGTTCCAGGGTACCGTGATAAGGCATATTTTGAATTCTTAAAATGAAAAAAGATATGTAAGATTCGTAATCAACGACCTCCAAAACCTACGAATAACAAATTTTAAGCGAAATGATATCCGTTTCGTAATCAGTGACCCAGAAACTCCTAAGTAACATTTTGAATTTTGAATGAATGACTTACTTGGAGTATTTCAGCAGCAGGAATTGTAGCTGCAGCTGGTTCGTTGATAGCTGTATCAATGTTTATCTAGAAATGGAAGTAAAAAATTATTAATCATGAAAGGTATACTTAAAAATATGTAATATATGTGTTGAAAATAATAAATACATATTACGGTAGTAAAGAGAAACTTACGTTTTTTAAGAAATCAGCATAACTATCTGCTTCATTTTCTAATAAAATTTTCTGAAGTGTTATTCTTTCCAGATTCTAAAAAATAAAATTTTCAATAAATTAAACAGACGATAAATTAAAAAGTAGTGAAATATTAAACTATTATAGATTAGAATTAGTTGAACAAAGTGTGCATTGTAAAAGAATTCTCTCAGTGGAGAAATTCTTTTAGACTTATTGAATATTGATTATTAAAGTATTGATTTGTGGAGTATTGAATTATTGAATATTGGTTTATTTATTATTGATCTTTTGAATATTGATTTGTGATTTATTGAATACTGATTTATCGATTTATTGAGTTATTGAATATTGATTATTAAATGTACTAAAAGCATTTGATTCTATTTTATAAGATACATGTTTTTCTTTGGAGTTTAAATTGTGATTTCTTATTTAAACCATTTCTCATATTTCCTTTTTTCTGATTGATCAAATTAAGAGTACAATAAGAATACGAATCTCAAAGACATTCTGAATAATATAATGGTAGTAGGAGGAATCCACTACCTTTATAATTTAAATTGTCCATAGGGCATGTTGATAGCCTACCGGAATTTATAATAAGATAAGTTATTTTTTTGTTTTATGATTGATTTCCATAAAAACCTAAAACCTTTTCCCACCAAATTCTAACCCTAACAAAAACAATGAAATTTTTTCAGGGGTATTTTTCAAAATCCTTTTGTCTATTTGAGATATTGATGCGCTAAATAAGCCTAACAAATTTTACCCAATTCTATTAAAACTTGTTAATGTTATCATGGAAATAAAAAAGGGATCGACACATTCATACACATACATCTAGACAATCCATCAGGATCTCATATAACATGTTTCTGTACAGAGAAAAATTTGTTTTCGACATTTTTGAAATTCTTATAAATGAAGGGACTACAAAGCATCCTCTGCGAGGAAACAAAAATGAATAAAAAAACCTACATAACAATTATTCTTATAAAAATAGTATGCGAAACAAAAATTACATCGAATAAAATTAAAACGGTGCACGAAGACTTTTAACCTTAACATTTATGAAAAAGTAGATTTTTTTGCAATATCAACAATATCAATAATAATAGTTAATTAATAATAAATAAGCTTAAATTATGAATGAATAACATTTTTTTTCTAATTCTTCCATTTCTAAATGAAATTCTTACTCAAATTAAATTCATTAATTAACGTTCTAATTAATTAACTGGCGGATATAGATTAAAAGTAATACATATACATACAATAAATAAAAAAATATGTAATTTCTGCATACTATGATCGAATGTTTTCATTTTTTAACTAATACATACATAGAATTAATGATTAAACGCAAACCTGAGAAATAAATAAATCTAACGCATGGGGGAAATGGAACCTACGACCAACTAACTATGAGTCTTACGCTTTACCATCTACGCTATGCACGCTATGTGACAAGGAATGTTAACTTCTTGATGCCATTTAAATTTGTATAATACCTGACTCAGAAAAGTGCTTAACATCATTTAGTTAAATTTAAGATATTAAGTTATATTTTCTAATTAAATGCAATTTATGAAATATAATTAATTATATGCTTTATGATTATTATCGTGAATCATCCCAGGTAAATTTTTTAAAAAAGTGTAAAAATATTTTTAATAAAAACGAATTCTTCCTTTATATGAATCATTGTAAATATTAACTTTTTGGTGATAAAGAAATATCTGACTTATGGACTGACAATTAAAAAATTTTACTAATCGATCATATATCATATATTCATATCTAATTGAGAGAATTTTCCTCTTCTATATTTTGAGAGGAATAATCTCAAATATAGAGATATTCATCCTACGTTAAGTTCAGAAATGTCAATCTTCTTTATTTAATTAGAAGAAATTATATGGGTTAGTTCATCCTTTAGAACTTGGATTTATTTATTTATAGGAAAGAAATCATTTTAGAGAATGAAACATGGCAAAAGCACGATTTTCTGTTTAATAAAAATACTAAAATTTTTTAGTTTATGAAAAATACTTTTAACTTAGGTTAATTTTAAAATAAAATGAATAGTATGCAGGTGAAAAAGTTTATGAATTATTTACAGAATAATTTTTATTTACTTCCTTCCAAAAAATCGAAAAATTAATTTATAAACATTCCTACAAATAAAAATATGGAAGAGAAAAATTCATTCTTATTTTTATTTATATAAAAATGAATATATTTTCAAAATAATATTTATAGATTATGATGCTGAAAAAATTTAATTCTAACTGGAATATTACAAAATTCTAATCATAGAAAGAATAGGGGTTAAACACATTGACATTAGTTTATTACGAAGCTATAGTACGCAACGTTTATGATAAACAATTTTTGAAGAAAAAATTTTTTAAGATGAAAAATTCTGTAATTTTTTGCCTAAAAAATATTTCTTGTAGTTTTTCATTAATCAGCAAATTATAAAAAAAATATTTTTTAGGCAAAAAATTATAGAATTTTTATTTTAAAAAATTATTTCTTAAAAAATCTTTTATCATAAACGTTGCGTACTTAAGCTTCATAATTTATTATAATAACATTATTGATTATAAGTAATTAATATTATTTTCAAAATTACAGATGTAATTTGTTAGTCCCACTTTACATAGAAGGTTTCTTAGTGGGATGTCCATTATTTATTTTTTAACTGTCAGTTTTCGTACAGTTTGAAGGTGTGCGTAAAAAAACAAAAAACTATATTTCTAGAGGAATAATTTCAATTATAGAAAAAAAATCTCAATTGAAAAAGAATACTTTCAATCGAAAAAGAAAGATTAAAAGTAATCATCTAACCAAAATGTTCTTAAATAAAAAAAAAGAATCCGCTATTTTTTAGATGAATATTCACATATTGAAAATAAAATGTAAAAGTAAATGTTGAGAGGAATTTTCTTCTCATTTTAAGATTTTATTTTTTTCGGTGTAACTCACATAAACTTGTAAAAATTAATTTGTTATTTGCATGCTAAGAGTTATTTTTTTTTAATTTTTGTAATGTATGTATTTTGTAAATTATTAATTAAAATAATATTTAAAAACTTACTTCGTCTAATTTTGGCGTTTTCCTCTTCGTAGGATCTCTTTTTTCTTTTAAAATCATTTTTTTGGGATGATTCAGCCTCTTCTTTTTTGGACCTATCGAGCCCGGCGTCCATTTTTGTTTGGGCTTAATAACACGTTTCTCCTTCAATTCTTACATTAATAAATGAACAAAAGTTAATAAACAATTTACAGTATATTTTCTTGAAAATAATTAATTATTTACAATATTCCAATCAACATATAACATTTTGATGACAAAGATTTTCGGTTTTAATATTTAGATGTATCCCTGCTCTCACAGCACCAAAACTTACCTAAAGATTTTTTTGAAATGTTCGGAATATTTAATTGCAAAATTTAGTGAAAATTGAGTAAAGATTTAACTGTCCCACTTGAATAAATTTTTAGCGCGAAACTTTCCTGAACATTGAAATGATATTTTCGCCTAATTATAATTATTAATTATAATTTATTCAAGTGGGACATTTAAATCTTCACACAGTTTTCACTAAACTTTGCAATGAAATATTCCAAACATTTCAAATAAATCTTTAGGAAATCTTTAGCAAAGCATCTTTAGCATTTACAACCTTAGGATTAATCCTTTCAAACTCAGAAAAGACAGAACATTTGAGAAAAGAATATGTATCTAATATGAATATGTATCTTGCCAGTACCGAAACCCATTAATAATGGTCAGTAATGAGTTTGTGCTATTCGGGTTCCCATTTGGTTGAACATTTTTAAATTCCAACCAAAGTTTAGTTACGAAAACAAAATAATTTGGTAAACACAACAAAATAGTTTTGCCAAAAAAAACTAAATGATAGTTTGTTGTCCTAACCAAAATATGGTTACGATAACCATATCGGTATAGCGGATTATGCATAACTTTTGAAATAAAAGTAAAATTTTTAATTTTGCAAAATTATCGATTTTCATGGCTGCTGCAACGATTTTCCAACGGCTTCTCTGAAAAAAGTATCTTAAACGGTGAGCAAAATATTCTTTAACTGGATTTTCAGAAATCGAAAGCAGCAAAATATTTATTTAATATAAGATAAAATCCTTTTTTTAAGTGATAAAAAGAATACTACATTTACACAAAGTTGCAGCTTCTAAAAAAAATTTTAATTTCTTTTTTTAAGCTGCCATTTTGTGTAAATGTAATATTTTTTTCATTCCTTCGATTAAAAAGAAGATTTGATTTTGTATTAACTAAATATTTTTCATTTTTTTTCATATGATTCAGTTGAAAATATTTTGCTCACCGTAAAACGCCTTTTTAGAAAAGCCGGGGGAAAATTGTTGCAGAAGTCACAAAAATCAATACTTTTACAAAATTAGAATGTTTGTTTTCACTTTAAAATTTACATAATCCAATAGAGAAAATTTCATTCTTATAAATTAACAACTTTCTTTGAAAAATATTCTTAAAAATGGCTGTGTTTTTGTCCTCCTGATTAACTATAACCCCTACTAAAAGTTAATTTTTTCATTTTTTATTGTTATTTTTTAAATAAACAAATTTTAAAAGAAAACAGTAAATTAAACAATTATTAAATTAATAACTTCTTTTTAGATATTTAATCAATATTTTGTAATAAGATTCGTACTTAAAGAAATTACAAAAAAATTCGTTCATATGAACGTTCAAAACTTTTGGCTTATACCAAATTTAATTTAAATATTGTATAATATAAACTTCTAAAATGAGAAATGTACAATAAAAGAATAATGTAATACAATAAAACACTGAGAGAAAATATTGGTTGGTGTTGCCATTTTTGAGATGACCATTTTTAATTAGTAAACTATACTACTATAATTTACTATTTGTGGTTATTATTTTAATTGGTTAGAATAACTATTTCATTAGTTGGTTTAACTAATTAGTTTGTTTTTAATTAGTTACATTACTTACTAATTAGTAAGAGTAACTAATATAAATATACTTACAATATGGCAATCGCAACCAATCGTTTCTCTCAGTGAAGAAATATGTAAACTTGAATAACAATTATTTCCATAAATTGTAGTCAATTTTCGATAATAATCCAGGTGGAAAAGTTTCCGTAGCAGACTTCACAGTATAAAATTTCCAAAAAAGGGGAATAGAGAAAAGTATATTTGGAAAAGGGGAAAAATAGGGAAAATCTAAATGTAAGTATATTTTTCTTAACCAAAATGCTTTAAAGTTGTTTTCAATTATTTTATCAAACCAAAAACCGTCTAGTAAAATATACAAAACTTGATTTTATTAAAATTTTTCAAAGAAACTTAAAGGTTTAATTTATTTAAATTTAACTTTCTGTGTGAAAAAGTGATGTGGTCCCCCAGCGGGGCACAGTGAGGAAAACTGTAAATTTTTGTGTCAAAATCGTAGAACTTGGGACAGAGTTGATACAATTTAATAAAAAAAATTGGAGATGAAAGCTGTGACTCTAGAGATTAGAGGAAAAATACGGAGAAACCTGTAAAAAAATTGTTAACCTATAAAAAAATATGCAAAGTTGGAATTTTATGGTAAAAAATTGGTTTTCAATGTACTGCGAGCATAAAAACGATGAAATCTTTGTCTATGTCGACTATACTTACGTACTTTTTCATGCTGAATACGAATCCGATGCCAGAATTAGTGAAAAAAATCGAGGAATAGAAATCGACCATGTTTTTTTCATAAAAAGTCCAAATTATTTAGATTGAAACGAAACTCACTTTTTAAGTGTTTTTGGGGTCGCTGATAACGAATATGACCTCAGAAATTCAAAATTCAAAATGGCGGATCCAATATGGCCGACTAAAATTTTTTAAATGCTTCTGTTCTAATCAAAACTTATGTTTCTTATGTTTTTGGGGTCGCTGATAACGAATATGACCTCAGAAATTCAAAATTCAAAATGGCGGATCCAATATGGCCGACTAAAATTTTTTAAATGCTTCTGTTCTAATCAAAACTTATGTTTCTTATGTTTTTGGGGTCGCTGATAACGAATATGACCTCAGAAATTCTAAAGTCAAAATGGCTGATCCAATACTTTTTATGAAAAAAACATGGTCGATTTCTATTCCTCGATTTTTTTTCACTAATTCTGGCATCGGATTCGTATTCAGCATGAAAAAGTACGTAAGTATAGTCGACATAGACAAAGATTTCATCGTTTTTATGCTCGCAGTACATTGAAAACCAATTTTTTACCATAAAATTCCAACTTTGCATATTTTTTTTATGGGTTAACAATTTTTTTACAGGTTTCTCCGTATTTTTCCTCTAATCTCTAGAGTCACAGCTTTCATCTCCAATTTTTTTTCTTAAATTGTATCAACTCTGTCCCAAGTTCTACGATTTTGACACAAAAATTTACAGTTTTCCTCACTGTGCGGGGGCCCTTATGGATCTCCCTCATGCCATGAGGGGCGCATACGAGTGATCCATAGGGGCCCCTCATGGAAACGACATGCTCATTGATGAGGGCGCCCCTATGCGCGCCCTCACGTTTGCCCTCATCTCCCCTCAAGTTTGCCTTAATGTTTTTTAATAAACAATATTAATAATAATAGTTAATTAATAATAAATAAGCTTCAATTATGAATAAATAACATATTTATTTAATAATTATTCAATTTTAAATTAAATTCTTACTCAAATTGAATTTATTAATTAACGTTCTAATTAATTAACTGTCAGATGTAAGTAAACCCAGATAACCAAGCGTACTAATCGTTATTTACGAGTAGGGAGTACTGGTATTATACTAGTTTCATACCAGTACAAAATAATTATGTATGTACGTACCAGTGCAGTACTAGTATAATAAAAGTATGTCGTACTGTTAGAATTATAAAATGTGAGTACTCGATAAAAGTATAGTACTAGTACAATGCCAGTACGTCGTACTTCTGAAATAAGAAGCACAACATACTCGTACGATACAAGTATAATACTGGTACGTCGTACTGCGACTCTTTGATGGTAATGCCAACCCAACCTCACTTTTTTGACAATTGTCAAATATCAACGCGTCACTGAAAACGGTGCAATAAATGTTGGTGAAAAAAGTGGTTTATGATGCAGCAAAAAAGTTTTAACGTTTGTAACTTGTGATTCTGTACTTATTTTGAATATCCGTGATTAAATTTATATTAAATTATCGATTTTTATAAGACTTATGTTGTTTTGCTTTGACATGACGCTTTGTGCCACGGTGTTCTTTCATTGAAAAAAATCTAAATCTTTTCTTTTATAAACTTTTTTATACATTTATATTGAAAAAAATTCGTAAACTTAATCTTGATGATATTAATATAAATTGAATTGAATTGTGTTACTTCGCTATAGTTTTTCTTATACATATAACATATTTATAGGTTAGGATGTGATAATATGTTTCACCCAACATCAAAACAATTTGAAACATCAAGTTTAAAATTCTTTTGAAATAATGTTTAAATACAAGCAAGCAGTCAATTAATACTTAATAAAGTTAATTAATTAGAATAATATAAAACATCAGATATTCTAAGATTAGTGAAAATACAAGTTACATATTTTATATAATATATGCACAGACATATATTATATAAATAAAAAAAATTATTGAATAAAAATAAATAAAAATGAATTATTATTATTTCAGTCCTCCCAAAGATTTTCCTTTTTAATAATAAATTAAAATAATTAAAATACTATTGTAGAAGAAGAGAGGGAGGGGGTATAGAATTTTTACTTTATACAGCATACCAGTATTGTACCAGTACAATAACGATACGTTATACTAATTCACAAAAGACTTTCAGTACGCCATACTTTTATCGTACTAGTATTGTACCAGTACAACGTACCAGTACAGTACCTGGTACCGTACGGAGGTAGATGGCTGGTACAGTACTAGTACGCTTAGTACGCCGTACTCATACTGTACTTGCATCGTACTAGTACGCTGGTTATCTGGGAAAGTAATAATAAATAAATTATTTAAAAAATTAAGAAACATTTTATGATCGGATATTTTCATTTTTCAACTAATACATACATAGAATTAATGATTAAACGCAAAC